TGTGTGTGTGTGTGTGTGTGTGTGTGTGTGTGTGTGTGTGTGTGTGTTCAGGCATGCACCACAGCACACACGTGGAGGTCAGAGGACACCATGGGAGAGTCAGTTCTCTATTTCCACCACGTGGGTTCGAAGAATTGAACTCAGCCGACAGGCTTGGCAGCAAGCACCTTCACCCACTGAACTGTCTCAATGGCCCCGCCTGCCTCCCTTAAACAAAACGTAGAACCTCTAAAGTATTAGCGGCAAGCGAAAACTGGAAGCAATGGGGACACAAAGCACTTTTTCTCCCATGGTTCTTTGCTCGTTGCTACCACTACCCCAGATGGCCTCCAGGGGGCTCTGCTTCCCAAAGCTCGGCAAAAGTCCCGGTCCTTGAAGTCTTCAAGCATTTCCAACTTTTCACTGTGATTTCTACGTGAGCGCTGAAAGGGCCTGAGGAGAGAGAGCACGCGGGTACACGTTCACCACCAGACTCACAAGATGCAGCTTTTCTGCTTTAGCCGCGTTAGCAAACTGCAGCTCTTGGGCTTGATTCCGTGTGCCGGCCGGCCAAGGGCCGCGTGCTGCCGAAGACTTCCTGCGGCTTGTGGAGCTGGATCAGGAAGCAAAGCACTTGTTGCAAAGGCGCGAAGATCTTGATTCCCCAGAGTCCCCTTAAGAGCTGAATGGAGGGGCTGGAGAGATAGCCCAGCAGTTAAGAGCACTTGCTGCAGCCGGGCGGGATGGCACATGCCTGTGATCCCAGCACTCAGGGAGGCAGAGACTGGCGGGCAGTTTGCTGTGCGTTCGAGGCCAGGCTGGTCTACACAGCGAGTGCAGAACAACCAGAGCTACACAGAGAAACCCTTCCTCAAAAGACCAAAAGATAAAGAGCATCTGTTGCTTTTTCAGAGGACCAGGATTTGATTCCCGGCACTCAAATGGTGGCTCACATTCATCTGTAACTCCATTTCCAAGGGATCCAGTGCCTTGTTCTGGCTGGGGGCACCAGGCACACGTGTAGCCCGCAGACATGCATATGGGCGAAACAGTCATTCGTACAGTCATTCACATAAGATAAGAACATTTAAATCTAACCAATTTTTAAAGGACAGGAAGTCAAGCTTTCCAGGCCTCTGCATGGACTATTGACAAACCAGGGGAACAGTCTCACCACCCCGACTACAACACAAAGAGAAACAGTTCGTAGAACTTTATCATCTAAACCAATTGGCAGTTGTAGCGCTATTTTCTCTATTAAATGTACTCCACCGCTTCTAGAGGACTCATAGTTAGTGGCTCTTAGGACTCTTGATTCCCAGCACTCATCAGGGGACCCGACTCCCCCCTCTATCCCCTACAAGTTCCTGAAGTCAGCTGGTACACATAAACTCACACAAGTGCACGCATGTACACACACACACACACATAAAAATTATATTAAAATTTTAAATCTATTCTACTCCTATTAAATTCTCTCAAATTGTCCTCTGTATCTCTCCACAATCCAAAGGGTCACACCTCAAGGGCTATTGAGAAAAGACGATCCTCCTGAAACAAACATTTCCATGACTTTCCTGCCTCTCATACTTTGTAAAGTCATCAGTTGGCACAATCGTGTTATTCTTAAACTCCTGTGAAACAGGGATCCCAGCCAACACCTATGACTGAAAACCAAACGCCTCCTCTCCACCAAATACGATAGAAGAGATTCTTTTTTTTAAGATTTATTTATTTATTATACTGTCTGTATGTAGACCTGCACTCCAGAAGAGGGCATCAGATCCCAGTATAGATGGTTGGGAACCACTATGTGGGTGCTGGGAATTGCACTCAGGACCGTTGGAAGAGCAGCCAGTACTCTTAACTCTCTCCAGCCCAGAACACAGTCTTACAATCCCTCTTAGGCAGGACTATGATTAATCACTGCCCTTCTGCGCCCCCAAAAGATCTTTAGGACCACAGCTCTCAGGTGGGGAGCAGGAACTGGAGAAAGCAGCAGCAAATGTAATATCACAGAGTATGCACAAAATGTGTGTGTCTGTGTGTGTATGTCTGTGGATATGTGTATGTGTGTGTGTGTGTGTGTGTGTGCCTGTGTGTATATGTGTGTATGCACACGCACATGTGTGTAAACAAAATGAAAGGGAGTGTTGGCAGACCATTACCACATGGCCAGATGCTTTGGTGTTCTCTATCAGTTCACTAACCCACTTCCATTGTTTTTTGTTTGTTCTTTTCTGGTTGGTTGATTTTTCCAAGACGGGGGTCTCTGTGTGTAGCCTTGGCTGTCCTGAACTCGCTCTGTAGACCAGGCTGGCTTTGAACTCACAGAGATCTGCCTCCCTGACTAGGATTACAGGCATGTGCTTCCATACCCGCTCTTCCATTGTATTCTATGGGGTATCTTTTTCATTCTTTTTTGTTTGTTTTGTTTTTCAATACAGGGTTTCTCTGTATAGACCTGGCTGTCCTGTAGACAGGCTAGCTTCAAACTCTGGGATTCAGCTGCCTCTGCTTCCCAAGTGCAGGGATTAAAGGCATGCACCACCACTGCCCAGTCCATTGTGGATGGGGCTGACCTTGAGCTATTGGTCCTGGGTTCTATAACAAAGCAGGCTGAGTAAGCCACAAGGAGCAAGTCAGGAAGCGGCACTTCTCCAAAGCCTCTGCATAGCCCTGGCTTCCGGGATCCTGCCCTGCTTGAATCCCTGTCTTGATGACAAGCTGTAATATGGAAGCATAGGCCAAAAATAAACCCTATCCAACCCAGCTTGCTTCGGTCATGGCATTTCATCATAGCAACAGAAACTCTAACTAGGACAGGGCTGGGTGTTATTTCCTCAGTGGCTGCAAGTCCAGGAGTAGAAGAAAAAGCCAGTGTTGTCTAAATTCCATTGAAATGAGAGCTGAATGACCATGTTTGACTGGCAGTCGCCATCTGGGCAGCTGTCTAGGGTCCCCACCCACAATGTCTCCAGGGCAGTACACTGTGATCAAGATTCCTATTGGCAACACATTGCTCCTAAACTGGGTAGTTTGATAAGCTGCTGTGGGAAAAAGCAACAGGTGTGATTTAATGCTACAAAGCAGGTTTTTATTTCAAGTTGTGTTCATGGTGAGGCTCTGTTAAGTGATGTTAGTTGCAAGTCCCAACTAACTTGCCTCCTTTTTGGCTCCTCCCGAACACAAGACTGAGCGTCTCCAGTGAATAAACACAGCATAAATATTTACGAACTCAGGCTGGGAGAGAAGCATAATTATTAGCTTGTCCAAGTGTCTTCACTCTGCCCTATTTATAACTCTGCAGTGTGGACTTAAACCAAGGTGGTTAAAAATATCATGAGTTTAAAAAACAAAAAACAGAGAACTGTGAGAGCAGCTCAACCAAGCACTTCAAAGTACTGAGCCCCAGGGCTAGCTGGCCACGTGGTTAGATGTGTTTTCTCTATGCAAACAGAATTTACAGGTTAATTTCTCCCAAGTTTTTTTTTTTAAACTGGTGTAAGTGTGTGTGTTGGGGACGGGGGGGGGTGGGGGGGAAGCGGGAACCCAAGTGCCATGGCACACGTATGGAGGTCAGAGGAAGACTTGTAGGAGTTGGTTCTTTCCTTCCACGGTATGGGTCTCAGGGTCATTAGCCTTGGCATAAAACCCACTTGCCTGCTGAGTCATCTTACCAGACCTATTCCAACCTTTTTTTTTTTTTTTTTTTTTAAACTAGACTATAAGGTTTATTGCACAGTTGGGAAGGTGGTGGAAGTTAGCTACAAATTCAATTAAAAAAAATAAAAGCTCTTCTCATCTAGCAGATGGACATGGGGTCAGGATATAGGCCTCTGAGGTGTTAGTGTCAAGAGTTTGTATGCTGGAATCTCCCATGCCTGAACCAGTTACCAAAACGGGTAAAAAGTTGTCCCACTTTGTGTGATGGCCTCGCTGTCTTCACGGAGGCCCTCTGGTGTCCATAAATGCCTTGCAGGCCTCCTGTTCCAGCCTCCTGAGACCTGAGGGCTGCTGAGCACACATGGCAGAGACCAGCTGAGTTTCTGGAAACAGGGCACCGAGCAGCACAGACTTGGTCATGACATGGCCTGGCACTGACTTGTGCAGCTTACAGAGAAAGTGCTTCATTGCTATCCCAGCTGGCAGAGAGAAACAGGATTGCAGGAAAGCTCCAGGCTTCAGAAGAGTCGGCACAGAGACCCCCCCCCCCAAAACTCAGGGAACACATCTGTCAGCATCCTCTCCCTGCACTACTATTAAATGGGACAGACAAGGGTAGCCAAGATCACTTTCAGATCCAGGCAAATTTCAATCTTTTGATATTGTAACATAATGTTGTAACCAACAAAGCTCACATTCAAGAACTGTGCAAACAAATTACAAATAAATAAGTCACACACACACACACAAAAAAAATGCCTCAGTGTTTGAAGTAAAATTTTTAATTCTGTGTCAGGCCATACTCATTGTCATCCTGTGGCAAATGTAGCCCATGGACCACAGTCCTGGATATATCTAGATGTTTGGCAAAAGTTATGGGAGGCCAGAGGCCCCCAAAACATCCTAGGCTATTGCCCTTGGAAACCTACTGTAAC